GTTTCGACTGTTACGATCTGACTCTGGTCTGAGACTAATTAATGAAATAGAGATCGAAAGAATGTAGTTAGAGGCTGCATATATTCTAGAGGTGTACATAGTTGGATTCAATTTGTACGTATATAAATGATGGAGGTGCTGATGGGAGCGAGGCTGCGTAGTTTAGCCATGATCAAATACTGCATTAGGGCGTAGTGCGGTGCCATGTTGTTGACTATAAATCGGTCCGAGCAAAGTTATGTTGCAGAGACGGAGCACGTAAACTCCTGTATACCTGGATTTAGCGAAACCTTAGCTAGAGAACTTTATGCGTCGACCCTCGATTCTCCTTACGCGAACGTGTCTAGGACTGTCATGCACATTCGATGAAGGAGTGGGAGTGGGCTGGCGATCTTCCCACTAAAAATTATATGGGACTTTGTTTCTGCTTTGTTTTGCTAAACAGATTTAATGGAGGTCTCAGGTCCAACTGGTGAGGATATTGTGGGTTGACAATTAGAGTGGGAGTCAATGTTTGGTCACGTAGACGAATTTGAGCTCGCGACAAGAAGGCTTGGCGGTTGAGGCCTGATGTATGAAATTATCTATCTGACCAAGGTCAGGTGACAGCACTAAAATTGGCTTAGCTTATAGGGGGTCAATCGATGTATGAATGAGGAGCCAAACCATTACAAGTATAGATGGATATTTTGGGCCTGGTAGGGGATTTCTGGAAGTTTTTTTCAAAGCAAAATAATTCTTAAAATAAATCCTATTTGGTTCAGACACTTTATAGATGGGCCATTTTATCAAGTTTCGTTTGATAGGTTTGCAAAGCTCGAGAGCAAAAAGAATACTTTAATTGAGTATTTATTCGAGACTTGGTAAATCTCGAATGGGACATTGAATCATCTTAGGTCGCTTAAGCTAGCTTACAGATTGATAGCTACTCTGACAAAGGCCCCACGACGCCACCGTATTCCCTTAAGCATGCCTTGCACAATGTTGAGACATCATTAGGCCTCATTCCAATGTTAAAAAATCAACCTTATTGTGTAAGAGGAATGATGCTTTTTAAGCCCAGAATTGGTTTGTTTTCAATTATCTACTAGACGAAACATGACTCGCCTCTCCCCTTCTTATAATTGCGTCGGTGGCTATAGCGACTGATGAAAACTTTGCTGTGTCGGAATGACGTATGCATTTTCTGTGCCCATGGGACTCAGGGCAGAGGTGAATTTAAAGGCGAATCAGGCCCCTTTCATATCAAATTTGTAGGGGGACTGTCTATGTGACAAACTTGTTTTTTACCATTACATTCTACTACGTCACTTATATCAGTATAGGTAGGTTTCGAAAATGTCTGTCAACTTTGCATAGCAGCTCCAATACCGTAGCTCGCATAAAGTAATGAAGGACTGATAGTTTACTTTTCCCACAATAACTTGGCATAGTGGAAGCTGCAGCTCACTCCTATCTGCATGTGAATACATCCGAGAAGCAAGGCTAAGTGAAGCTTGATGGAAACGTGAGACCTACTCATGATTGGGGGCAAATTCAACTATCAGTCCTTCATCACTTGCGATCTAGGGTGGCTGGAGCTCTTATGAAAAATTTACTGCTAGTTTCAAAACCTATATTTACGGATATATTTATTAATAGCAAATATATTCACTGAATAAAATGTGAGTGCCTATATAGACAATGCCTGGGCCAATGCGCTTTTGGAGACTAGATCATAGGTTTTTTAAGGAAATTTTCCTTCTTTTTTCTTCTTCCTGCTTCCAGTGCCTGCCTCAGCCCACCTCTGCTGGATATCCTTCCACCTCAACAACTGTCCTCACTTCATCTAACAGATGAGGCGGGCTTCACTGCAGACTCAGACTCAACCGTCTGCACTGAGATTGTCAGCGAGGCCCTCGAAGTATTTTATCCCGCCCTTGGCACCATTTGTCGCAATTGCGCTCCGTCTTTCAATTCCTCCTTGGCTCCCATTTTCTAAAGGCCTCTTTTTGTATTGGCTTTAAAATATTTTACATGGTCTCAGCCAAACCTCGCTTAGAGTAACGAACACAAAACGGTTGCAGCATTGGGAGCGGTCCTGATGATAAGCCCAGCTTTTGCATCTTTTACAAACTTAAAATTGAGTGATACTAGCAGAACATTTCTTTGAAAATCTTGATCTCAGCGTATGTATATATCATCTATTGAAGGTTAAGCCAAACTTTCCTTATTTTTGTATATTATTTCCTTTCCGTGTTTATTGTACGTATCTTTGTATACCCGTTTTCATCCTTATATATTCGATTAGTCTGCCAGTTTCAGATCTGTCAACTACATTATTGCCATTTCCATTCAAGGTACAGGGTTTTCAAACCGTTTTCTATGTACATTTTTTATTTAAAGGCAAGAATGGTCACTATTTTTTTAATCTGAGCTCCCTTTAGACTCAAATAACTTAAATAGCTTTGATGAAGTCTTTTTAGCCTATTTAAACGAGTCAATTAGCTTTACATTGTTTGTAGACTATAAGTTTCATTTCCATATCTTTATAAAATATTTTCACACTTATTTTTGATACTAACGATAGTCTAAAGTCTCCTATTATGGCTCGATGTTTTAATTCGTTTTCCATTATCTAGCTTCGTCTCTATTTAATTTAAACTTTTAATTTACGATTTCTATAATAGTTAATTCGTGGTTATCTAATGCGAATACCCTTTTAAGGACTCTTGAACATTTTCACAATCCCTCAAGAAACCTTGCTGCTTGTACCACTCGGAGTTTACTTGGTCTATCCGTATTGTTCTGTGTAGAGGCGTTTAGAAATATCCTGTTTCCTTTTGATGGCTTTTAGCTTTAAAGCTAATTCAGTTATGATTGCCAAATCCTTAATTGAACACAAAAATCTCCCAACTTTGCCTCTCCTATTTGGTTTATCAGATTGACATTTTATCTTGATACAAACCTAGTATTGAGTAAACTAGATCTCCGCACACTATTTGTTCCAAACAGTTACTTTGGTCAGGCATGACCGTTCATGCGGTGCGAGGCTGTTTTATCTTTCCTCGTGCTGATCCAAACCATAACCATGCAGCCACGTTACTCAGCGTGACTTAAACAGATTGATTCTCAACTTCTGCCTATGTAGATTGTCGGATTTTTGTTGCATCCACTGGTCTGATCTCCGATGAAGCAGCACATGATTATTTGCAAATGGAAGAAATCATGTATAAGATATGTTCCTCCTTACTTGGACAACACACATAATCATTATTTCAGGCCTTGAAGTTTATTTCCAATTTAGGTATAAATATGTTTATGTAATCTCGTTACGTTAACCGCTCTGACACATTGCCACGAGTAGCTACACTGTCATGGTTCGACTCCTGCAAGGTGTTTATAGGACCTAGG